AGTATTTAGGGAAATATAAAATAAAGCATAAAAAGAAGAGGAAGAAACAGAAACAAACAAACAAAAGAAGTACACTATGAATCGACTCTTTTTAAAAAGATATTCTACTATTCGATTTGCTTTCAAAAAAAAGGTCTGAATAACATAAAAAAAGTTGCAAAGCCTACCGGCTAATCCTCCGCTCCAGCCCGGAGAATCACAAAAAGTGATTGAAAAGATGCATCATTACGCTCAGTACATAGAAACATGTCCAAACACAAAAAATTCCAAATAAAAGAAAAACGGAAGGGGGAGGGAGAGGAGGAGGAGGAGGAGAGCTTGATCTTCCAAGAAAAATGAAAAAAATGGAAAGGACGAAATTTAAAACTGCAAGCCTACAACCAAGTGACAGACCTTAAAGAAGCAGAGCTGCGAGCTGCGGGGTCATAGTTTTCATGAAAGAACTAACCAGCACCACAAACAGCCCAAAAAAAGAAGAAAAATGAAAAAGAAGAAGAAAACTAATGTTTAGACAGCAATGGCTGTGCGTGAGGACGACGATATCGGAGCCACTCCGCATTTTCCCAGAAGCCAAACAAGAGCAGTAATGTAAAACATAAATGTCGATAGAAACTCACGAACCGTTACTACCAGTGAATGGAGTTGCAGAAGATGGTGAAAGCTGTTGTATCCGTAAGTGGCTTATGGCTTCCGGCGGGGGGAGTGGGGAGGAATAGAGTACGGGCAAACGCAGAGAAAGAGGGAAAGGAGGAGGTGGTGGTATAGAGTACCGATTTGTCGTTGCGCACTGACAGCGATTAAATCGGTTTTAAGAAAGAGCTTGCGTCCGCATCCCCGCATGGGATTACAATATCATATCTGTATTCGGGTTACCACCTTATCCCTCTTCTGCCTTTTTTAACCTTTTCTTTTCCACCTTGGTGCCTTTGGGGATTGGCGCCATTATATATAAACGGACCAGTGAATACCCTCACCCTGCTATCGTCAAAAAGGATTAGATTATATTAGGAAGAAAACAAGAGTCCACCTTAAAAATTTTTTACAGGTAAATATGTGAAGTAACTTATTTTATCCCCAAACACCCCCTCCAATGGCTGACCTCAGGTTAGATGAAAAAATGGAGAGAAGTGTGGTGTGAGAATGATGCGTTGGGGGAGTTAAGTTGAAGTGTATTTAGAAATTCGTAAAAAAAAAAAAAAAGGAAAAGAAATGATGGGTAAGAAAGTAAGTTAGTGAGGTGCAGTCCAATCTTGGTGAAAGTTCTACTTGGGTACAAGCTTGGCATCTTTAGGAAGTAAAGTGTTTCTTTCAGGTTAATGCTTTTCTGAGGAGAATATTGTCCCTGAATAAAACTGAATATACGACAACCATGAATATGACGAAACACGATGCTTTGCTCATTTTGTCACTTAAAAATTCAGAACTGAGAACCCTGCGCGTAATTGCGAAGTGAATTCTCAGAGGCAACAATAATGGTGAGAAATGGGTAGAAACCCAGTATTCGCACTATCATTATGTTTCTTTTTTCCCCCCAAAAAAAAAACTGTTGCAACATCAATTTTTTTAATAAAATACTGTTTCAAATTCAGCAGTGCGTTCCTTGGTTGCGCTTAAGAAATAAAAATTCACAAATAATGTATTATGCCACCATTAGCACTGGAAGGAGGAGAATAGGATTTTTCAATAAAGTATGCAAAATAAAACATCAGGATATATATTGTTTGTGTCTGCCATCGTGGAATTTGATGTTTCTGAAAAGGAATCAATCTCAGTGTGAGGATTATATAACACCCAAGACTGCAACGAGCCTAATTAAACCGTTTTATTATAACCTTGAAATGCTAGGGACCTTTGAATAGGACAAAGAGATTAGTTATCACGATTCATTAACGACTCCAATTACTGCAGTCACAAAAATAATAATATATCACCATCGAGAAGAGAATAAAAATTATCTTATATATAATGTTATTTTGCTCGCAGGCTTTTCATTATAAAAATACAAAAAATAAATTTGTGTGCTGGATATCAGGACCATCCTAATGAAGGTTAAAAAAGCAAAAACGAAAAAAAACGAAAAAAAGACCATCCATAGGGACAGGCGAGCGTTTCCTATCTTATATGGCCAGGCCCAATGGACTAAAGTGGGGCCCATAGTTTTAGCTCATCTTCTTGCGAAGTCCGTTTTAGCCCATAGTCAAACTCCGATTTTCCAATTCGGTGCCTGGAAAACGCAAAGCGACTTTAATGGATCAAACCCAAAAATGAATTTTGATGGAGTCCAACCAGTCTCACAGATGAATAGCAATGAGCTTCTGCTTCTTCTTCGTTCGATCTGGTTCCGAGATCGATACTGACGAGTTGGATCAATACCTACTTCTTATGCGAGGGAAATTTTATACTCACGTGGTTCAATCGAAATATATTTAAATTTCTTCAGATTTAACGTGACATCCAAAACTCAGTTGACACGTTAACAAGATAATGAATAAAAAAAGTTAAATATCAGCCTTCAATACATCACGCCGAATCTAAAAGAATAATAGCACTGATTATAAATCAGAAATTGTTATACTCCTCCGGTCCTTAATATAGGACCCAATTCTTGAGTTGGTTTTGGTCCTAAATATAAGACTCATTTCTCATATTTATCAATTTTCTCTAAATTACCCCTATAGATACTCTCTCAACCATAATTAAGTAGAAGAGGGAGAGGGGGTATTAAGAAAGATGATTATGGTGTTTTAGGAAAAATGTGTCACTTTTCTTATAATTAACCAACTTACCTAACTTCCTTAATCTAATCAAATTTGTTAAATGGGTCTTATATTAAGAACCGGAGGAGTATTATCCATGCCTTGTTGCTTCTTGTAATATAAGTGCAGTATCGTAACTTATTAAAAAATATCGAAGCCCACGTCACTGTGCTCTCTTTCTGTTTATTTTTAAAATCATAAACAAAATTACTGATAACCGTGAAATAATCACTGGCCGGGAAAAAATAGATGGGACGAAAAAACTAAAATTGATGATAACCCATTATTTCAGTGTGTTAACATATGTCAACAAATATTTTTCATATATTATACAGCACAGAAAAATATATTTTACATCACTAGCATATCAAAGCGAGTATGGTCTAACATACGAGTGTTTAATCAGTATAAAAAAAATATTTTAATTAATATAAAACTTATTTTATAATCTAAATTACATTATAAAATAGTCTTACAATTGGAGGTGGAAGGTTACTTTAAATTGGCATCAAGATCCAACCATCAAAACTGAAAAAAAATATCGCAACATCAATAGTAAAAATAATACTCCTCTGATCCTTAATATAGGACCCAATTATTGATTTGGTTTTGATCTTAAATATAAGAACCATTTCTCATATTTATCAATTTTCTCTCAATTACCCCTATAGATACTCTCTCAACCATAATCAAGTAGAAGAGGAAGAGGGGGTATTAAGAAAAATGATTATGATATTTTAGGAAAAACGTGTCACATTTCTTATAATTAACTAACTTACCTAACTTTCTTAATCTAATCAAATTAGTTAAATGAATCATATATTAAAGACGGAAGGAGTGATATTTTATACAACCCATGGAATCTTAAATTGTGGTTGCTTTCCGGCGGATAAAGAAAATTGATTTTGCTTAGGCTGACCCATAATCCTTTTCCCTTATCTCCTCATAACTTACAAGTGACGCACCCATCTCAAAAGGCCCCCAACCAACGTGGAAACCAGAGATACAGACAATATTTGGCATTTGCCGACCTGCCCATCCCATCTTATTCAGCTTCCATGTCGGTAACTTGTTCCGCAATCTTTTCTATTCTTCTCCTCCGCAGCCCACACCAAAATTTGCCAAACCGAAGGAGTTTTGCTGAGGGAGCAACCCCCTTTTTCACCTTGAATTGGTCAAAATACGCGGAATTTCTTACTTTTCGTGGAGGATTAGATCCAGTAACTGGTGGTCTATGGCTGACCGATATTGCACACCATCATTTAGCTATTGCATCCGATCCCCGGATTGAAAAGGGGGGGCAAAAAAGTCCCTAATCCTTTTTTTGGGAAAGACAGCGTTGAAAATTTAATTAAACATTCATTCCATAACACTTTTTTTTTGCCTGACATTTTATAAGACTTTTTTCAATGAGCATTAAAAATTTTTTCATGATAAAAGTAGCGAGAGAGAATATAAATTAATATGATATTAAAATTTAGTGTGGTTATAAAAGCAATATTGAAAATTATTTAAATTTCATGACAAATTAATATTATTAATTATTTTAATTGGTATATCTAAATTAGTGAAAGACTTCATATTATGAATGGAAGAGAGTACTGCATGATAAATTATTATGTGTTTTGTCAAATTCTTCCCGACAGTATATTGCATGATATACAGTGCCTTCTGGGCCTTCGATAAAATTAGCTAGAATGATGCAAATAAGAGCAAATCTATTGCATATCTTTATTTACTTTTGTTTAACACATCCAAAAACCGTCAAAATTAATATCAATATAGATGTATCCATCATGTCGAATGAAAAAAAGCATATATACATATATATGTAAAATTCACAAGAAATTACATTATTTGTAAATTTTTAATGATGTGATTTATTTCAAATTTTGCATCATGCATGGAATTTAGGGGATATTATTTCGACCTTGTGCATGCATAAGTTTAGAGATTTGATAAAATTGTATTCTATTCTAATTTTTTCTCATTTCATAATTTGATTCCATTTCAGGCAAGAAATGAATAATTGCTTTTACTGTGGAATGTCCGAGAATATCCCCGCTTTCATTTTCCAACAGTCGAGGGCATTGACGTCATTTGAGCCAGTCTGACTAAAATAGACACCTGTCCAAGATGCACAGCGAGTTCGAGTCTTTGAGCTGCGGGCACTCCAGAGCCCACATGGATAGTGGTAATAAATACACCCTCCCAGCATCGCCTCCCACGCCAACAAACTCCCTTCCCCTATCATAATAGCTCCATCTTCAGAGGCCTCTCAGTAACGAGAGAAATATTCTTGCAGAACTCACCATATAGTATTACCAAAAACACAAAATACTCAGAAGGTTAAAAAAAAAAAAGTCAAGAGATGAGAACGAGCAACAACTTGATTGGTCTAGTAAACTTCCTGACGTTCTTGCTGTCGATCCCAATCTTAGGAGGCGGGATATGGCTGAGCAGCAGAGCCAACAACACGGACTGCCTCAAGTTCCTGCAGTGGCCGCTCATCGTCATCGGAGTCTGCATAATGGTGGTGTCGCTGGCGGGATTCGCCGGCGCGTGCTACCGCAACACCTTCCTCATGCGGCTGTACCTGGTGGCGATGTTCTTCGTGATAGCGGCGCTGGTAGGGTTCATAATATTCGCGTACGTGGTGACGGATAAGGGTTCGGGTCGGGTGGTGATGAACCGGGCGTACTTGGAGTATCACCTGGAGGACTACTCGGGTTGGCTGGCGGAGAGAGTGTCGAGTGACAGTTACTGGGGGAAGATAAGCTCTTGTATTAGGGACTCCCACGCGTGCGCTAGGATGGGCAGAACCTTTGGCGGTGTTCCTGAGTCTGCTGATATGTTCTCCCACCGGCGACTCTCTCCTGTTCAGGTACGCCTAAATGATTCCGATTTCGGTCTTGCTATTTTTTTTTCCCCCTCTGTCTACTTTCTCTCCCACATAAAAAGCTTGTTCATTGAATAACTTAATTAATTAGGATCACATGATCGAGTCCATTAAATTCTTTTTCTTTTTCTTTTTCTGCCTTTATTGACCTGATCGATCCCAGTATTTCATCAAGCCTTTGCTTACTTGCTGGGGGTTATGTTTTGGTAACAAGTTTAGGAGAAGTCGAATTGAATTAGTGTGGAGGAAGCTTGTGTTGTGAGTTTCAGCATTGGGCACTCACTTTGATCCCTTTTGTCTTATAAGGACTTTTATAGAAATCACATCGAAAAATTGTACAGAGGGGATAGCGACGTGAGATATATGTAATAGTTTTTTTTTTTTTTTCAATTTTTAGCTGAAGAGATACATGTAATAGTTGAAGCTTGAAAACTTGGAGGTTTTTTTTCCTTTTAAATTGAAAAAAGAGTAAAAATAATATGAATATTATTCCTTTCCTGTGGGGGTGTAGACGTAGGAGGAAGTTGAAGGAGAGAATAGATTAATTAAATAGGGGTGGGGGGCTAACCGGCTTGGGTAAGGAAGGGGTTAATTCCGACTGTTGAGAGAAGTATCAATATTTAGTGTCTCAGAGTGTTTTAAATAGAATTGTTTTTATTAGAGGGAAAAAAAAATAGGGGTGGTTGGTTGGAGATCTGAGCATAAGGAAGCTTGAGGTCGGTGGCATGTGAGGGGGGTGATCGGTTTTAGGCATATTGACCGATGAAGCTCCGAAAGTTATGGGCTCGTCAACCAATCAGAGGCAAGCCACGTTAACTAACGTAGAAAACGAAATACTAAAATATTACTCCTTCCGGTCCTAATTACAAAGGCAGAAAAAGTTGCGTATGGGCATGGCTGTTGTTTACGTTTGAGACTTTGAGCAAACTTTTGCCGACATAAGCTAGCTAGCAATATATAGCAAGCACAAGTATAAACATTTTTATGCGGGGACTCTTTTAGAAGATCGTAAAATGAAAATATACTTAGAGTTTGATTTCACTTTTTTATTTAAAAAATTAATTTATCCATTTTTATATATAGTTTAGTACCTAGAGTATAAAAGTAAGTATATATTTAAAAAGTAAGAAATTAGTTTTCATAAACTTTAAAATATATGTGTGATTCATTAAAAAATATAAAAGATTGAGACGATGTCAAGAGAAATCTCAGGTGAGAAGGAAAAATTAAAAAACATCAACTTTGGGGGTAGCCACGGGTGCTGCGAACCTTCATTTTTCATTAACTTGTTCTATTCTATATTTATGGACTTTCCATTCAGTTTCATATTTTTACCTATGGGTTACCATCAATATATATTATAAAATGCTATAAAAAATTATATTTTCCAAATCACACCGTCCAAGTTATATTTTAAACACTGTATATTAAAGTATAAATTAGGGTGTATTTGAATTAGCAGTGGCAAAAATGACTTTTTTTCCATATGACATTTTGCAAATGTGAGTTGGAGTAAAAGTCAGTTAGTCTAATATAATTTATATTTAGATTGATGTTTATAAAAAGTTTAAACTTAGTTTAGATGGACAATCAAAACGTAAATTTACATGTAAGACTCAGTTAATCAATGTAAAAAAATAAAGTATATGCATAGATATTTTAAAGAGATTATGTTGTCTTTTTTAATTTGTTCAGATTAGTCTATTGAGGTTTTATATTAAGGAATGAAGATAATATATCACTTTGATAAAGTTTAGAAAAATAATTAATTAAATTAATTAAATTTCATCAGTTAATTTTTTTAATCACTTAAATACCGTTATTTTTCTTCTTATTTTTATTATCTTCTCTCTCCGCGTCGCCCCACCTTACCAACGGTAAAAGCTAAAAATTTTAGCTTCCCAGCGCATCTGACTTAGTTCGTAAAAGTTGATTGGGCTAAAGGTCCACCCAAACAACTCACAATCTTTAAGCCACCCTCAAACCAGCGTTTCACACGTACCAATATGCATTTCATCATGAAAACGCCAATCCAAACACACGCTTAGTTGCATTTATAGGTCTCCTTTTTGCATATGAGCAAACATAATATTATGTAAACTAGTGGGTGATATATGTGCTCTCTGCTTTTTCTCCTTACCGCATGATCATCTTCTTAGATGGGTGGGATGCTCTTTTTATCCTTTGTTTGTTATGATTTATGAACATGGACAGATAGATTCATCAGAAAACAGATGGATAAAAGAATAATAGTACTTTATGTTCATGTCCCTTTTGCCTTCCAGCTGATTTTTCTGTCTTCTTAATTTATATTACAGAACTTATCATACTACTGATATATATAATAATAATAATAATTTAATATTAAAAATGGGTAGTGATTTGTGATTGAAAACGAGTTTTCCCATTATCAATGGGTCAGTGATTGAAGAAGCCCATTGGCATGTATGATTTGTTTTTTGCGGCACAAGGTAGGCGTTGTGTCTCACTCAGCTCTCGTATTTCAGAAAGGACAAAGAAAAAACGTGTTTTGCTTCAATTGGTAGATGAAAACAACAGCAAAGTAATTGTCCCTTAGTTCCTACTTTCAACGATAACATAACTGCCTCTAGTCTTTTCTTCTTTGTCCTTTTCTCTAAAACGCAGCTCGAACTTATCGTAGCACACCATCTGATCTTATCTTTTCTGGTGGAAGGTGAGAGGATGATAATTTTTCCTCCCCCTGAATCGAAGCTTAGGATTGGGTTTAATTTAAAGATAAATATACCGTGTGATGACGTGTTGATGATATTTGTGTTGCTTTTTTTTTTTTGGAGGTTGAGCATAAGAACTTTGGATATCCTGGAAGGAATTTAATCGTTCTTTCAGCTTCTATGATGCAGATATAATATGTCATGCAATAATATTTAAGATTTTAATCATGCGTGTCGGATGAGATGATGAAAGATGCCATAAAAATGACACAAATGATGTTTTATGAGAACTAACAGGAAAAACAAAAACACTCTGACCTAGGACTTTCATGTATTGGGAATCTATTTAAATCAGTGATATGACCTCATGCTATATCTAACATGATTTTTTCAAGCGACGCGAAACATTTCGAACATCATATTATTAGTATACTAAGTATAAATATCTTTGGCATGCCACTTACTATTTAAAATAACAGAACCGCTATGTGATAATATCTTTCTTTTTGACATGAGTAGTCTACCTTTCCTCATATTACATGCTACAAAATAATTAATCCGAACATGTTACTCACTCTGACACCCCCCCCCCAAAAAAATAAATCATTCAAACGGGGCACAAACATGAAGAAACAGGTTCATAATTTTTATTTATTTACGAGACAAAAAATATTCGGGGTTCTACTCCCAAGAAACTTGTGTTCAACAAACAATTCTTATAAGCTAGACTTGTTTGTGTTCATTGAAGTGACAAATATATTGTCCTGTTTTTGCATGATTGAAGTCTGGATGCTGCAAGCCCCCAACAGACTGTGGATTTGTGTACCAAAACGAAACGTATTGGAGCCAAGCAACCGGAGTGGCTGTGCCCGACCAGGATTGCACCAGGTGGAGCAATGACCAAGAGCAACTATGCTATGCTTGCGATTCTTGCAAAGCTGGCGTGCTTGCCAGCATCAAGAAGAGCTGGAGAAAAGTCTCTGTGATCAACATTGTCGTTATGATCATCCTTGTTATCTTCTATATAATTGCCTATGCTGCTTTTAGAAACGACCGCAGGATCGATAACGATGAACCCTCCGGTGAAGCCAGGATGACTAAGGCACAACCCAGCAGAATCAGTTTTTAGCTCCGTGGAATCGGAAGCCAAAATTTTCAAAGGCCATAATATGTTTATTAGATGGTTGTATTGTTTTGTTTCAAATGTCCTTGTAACATTCTGAATCTATTTTCAGTTTTTTTTTTTGGGGGGAAAAACAGGCTGGATGTGTTTGTTATATCCTACATTACTTACACAAGGAAGGAAAGTTCGTGCAGGAAAAGCTTTTCTTTAGCCGGAAAGTACTGATCATTTATACATTTTGTTGGGTCGAAATATGAACTAGTCTATAACTTCTTTCGGAGGTGTTATGGGTGTTTTAGATCTTCAACTCGAACCCAGTTAATGTATGTGGCCCAATGATATGGGCCTCCAGTTCTTGTTTGGCTCCCAGTCAGGTCCAATGTTATGAACAATGCAAATATGCAATACAGTTTAGGACTAAGTTAATAGCGTCCTTCATGCATGTACTGGTGGCGTAGACGTTCTGATTTCTGTACTGATGCAGCTCAGAATGATGAAATGAAGTAATACTCTGTTTATAGCTTCAGATTCTTCTTCATCTTCTTCTCCTTCACAGAGATCCACGTGCGAACAAATCTTGCAGAAGAAAAGGCTGAATTGAGTATTTGGCATAAGAGAGAGACAATAGAAAAGGTTGAAGGTTTAAGTGGTTTGCAAAAATCGCATCCACTTCATATGATAAGCAACTTCTATTAGAAATCAAACAGGTCATGCCTGTGAATGATCACATAGGGTAAGGATTACATGGAATGGCTCCTGTTTGTTTCGATCACTAGTGACAATAGTCAGTGAATACACATGCTGATGAACCTGCAAGCTCTCAAGAATAATCTACCACGTATATTTGTTGTGATTGGTACGCTCAAATCTTAATCCAAATTCTAGAAATCTGCCTTTGTTTGCAATGTCGTCGGTAGAGGATCAGAAACAACGGTTCTTCAGTGTCTAACATATTAAAAGGGGTAATTTAGATACCTTGCCCTGAATTTAAATACTCGTTAATTTCGTTGGGCATGAACTGCAGAACTCTTGAAAGAAAGCTAGATTCTTACATTTACTGATAAGAGAAAGTAGAACCAAACATCTTAACAAATTAGTCCAAATTCTCATCATTAGATTTTGCTTCCTGCCACACGTGGCACCCTTTCTCTATGGAACTTGTGGGGATTAGGATAGAGGACTGTGCGAGACAGTGTGTTAACTTTGACTCCCAACCCCCCCCCCCAAAAAAAAAACAAGACTATTTGAATCCCACCAAGGCCACGTCACAGTTATCTATCTATCTATATTTCAATTGAAAGATATCATTATCTTTTTTTATTTTAATTATAAGATCTTATTTGTAACTTACAAATGAGGTTTTATAATTAAAATCGAAATAGAAATAAGATTTTATAAATAGAACCGAAGATAACATTTTGCTATACTGGTTTAATCTGCAGCATTGTTTTGCAGATTGATGGGTTGGCTGGTTAAGTCGACAGACATCATAGATGAGCTAAACAAGTCTAAGCGGTCTGAGTACGGAACTGGCTAGAGTGAAAGGACCTCTCCTTGCTGTGAGTTGTCGCCGTGACCGTGTGGGCCCTATCTAATACTTGAGAAGCATGGTGAAAGAATTATGAACGAATATGGAAGCAAAGTGTCGGCCAAAAAAAGAAAAAAGAGAATCTGGAGGCAAAGCGCTAAACTCTCAGAGGAATAACAAAACGAATTAAGTAAACAAAGTGTCTCCTTACAAGCGGATGTGGATCCATCACACTGATCAAACCACGGTAATTTTCTCTTATCCTTTACTTTCCTGTTTTGCACAACAAATCATTTACCCAACTTAGCGAGGCCTGCATCAATATTCAGTACTCAATTACTATTATTCAATTCAACTTAGAGTTGATAATGACCGGAGAATCTTTCCCCTGCGGTCTTCTTCTTCCCTTCCACAGCCTACACATGTTACAAATCTCAGTGCCCTGTGAAGCGGGGTTTAAATTTCTGTTCCTGATTCATCAAGGACCAGCCTCAGAAGGAGTTGAGGAATTTGCATTCATTACGTGGACTAGGTACAAAAACATCTTTTTTCATATCGTTGGACTTTGCTAAACGGCGATGCAAAGAGAGTGGGATGACCGTAGTTCGTTAATAATTATGAGCTTACAACGACACATGTTGTGATAATAGCAGCACACGACCATTCGACATTGTTTCTATTTTCCTTGGGCAGGTCATAATTATCCCACTGCGGACCCCTCCACGCTAAAGTTCCTCTTTAGACTTGTAAACACCTTGCACCATCCTTTTGTGTTCAGATGTGACACTGTCTCTAAAGATGAAGGACATCTTTTATAACTATATACACACATATACAGACACACACACACGCTCGCACACTAACCAAGACCTTCTTTTAATGGTGAAGCGACCTTTTGAAAGGATCAATAATGAACGTGCGAAGTAGTGGAGCAAAAGAAGGAAAGAGATTATCCATGTTCCATACACAAGTTCTTCTGTATATACCTTTTATAGGTCACGTTATATCATCAATATGAACGTGTATTTTAAGAGGCGAGAAAAACATTAAGGAGAAGCTGGGTTTTAGTGGGAGTGAACCGTAAAGTGAGTTGGCTAGTGGTTCTCTAATTTCTTTGCTTTCGTTAAGGTCCACGCGCTAAAGACTCTTTGAAGGTGCTAAATTGATAATGGGAAAGAAAAATATTGCTGCTAAATAACAAAGGTCCAACTACTTCCACCGCTTAGTTGAAATTCCCCCCTTTTCTTTAGCCGTAGAAAGCTTTGTCACCTTAGAGATAAGCTAGCTACGGCTCAAAATCAAACTAACAATACATATTTTAATTCTATGTGCCCAACATATACCTTTCAAATTAAGTTTTTTTCAAAAGAAAAATCTAAAACAGCATATTGTTGTATCTACATACACTTCTAGACATTTGAAAGGTCGAATCCATAATGGCAGCTTCCCTAATTTCTCACTTCATGTGTCCAACGAGCTGACCGGCTCTTCACCAACCTTGCCCCCACTCTGTGCCCTATTGCCTCTCTGCCTCTACCTCTCACAGATACTTCCATTCTGCAAACAGACACATTGCTTCTTTCTCAGAAGCTGCACTTTCGTTAACTTTTATGTGCTGTATACTTCATATCCTTTTGTTTTCATCAAACTACTCTCTCTGAATGGCCTAATACACCATTATTTTGTTCCAATAATGACACCAAAGCGACGTAAGAAAATTGAAGACTTCAATGTCAACATCGTATTGGCCTCCGTTCTTTTAATAAAAACAGACCTGATACTGATAATGAAGTGATCTCTCAGGATTCTTTCACTTAGTTCCTTTTTTTTTTGGAAAAAAAAAGAAAAAGAGATGAACTTTCATCTTTAACTCGAATCGAAGTAGGTGGCGGGTAAGAGAGAGTAGAAAGATAGCATTGTCGCAGTGGTGGTAGCAATACTATAAACAAATTAATCGCACGATTCCAATTAGTATTAGCCACTTGTCATGGCCGAAAACGGTCGTAACGTTTTAGTTTTAGTGTGGACCCCTTCGATGTGGGCATGGATATTCACGCACCCAATACACCAGGCACAAGAACTATAAAAAGAATTATTGCGCGGTCCTAATTTAATTATTAAAAAATTTCACAATAAGTGAGTAACATGCAATGACAAGTTTTGATATTGAAAAAGGACAAGTAATCCATACTACTGACTTGTTATAACTTTTTTTAATACTCTTTTGATCCTTAATATAAGACCTATTTAACTAATTTGATTAGATTAAGAAAATTATGTAAGGTAGTTAATTATAAAAAATATGATATGTTTTTTCTAAAACATCATAATCATCTTTTTTAATATCTTTCCTCATTCACTTACTTGATTATAGTTAAGGAGGCGTTATAAGGATAATTCAGGAAAAATTAATAAATATAAGAAGTAAGTTTTATATTTAGGAACAAAATTAACTTAATAATTAGGTCATATATTAAGGACTCTGGAAGAGTAATTAGATTACTCATATGAAATCGCATTCTAATTCTCCCAACTACAAACTCCAAGCGCGGCAAACATGGATAAGGATACCATGTCAGCTTCATATAGCTTGTGTGAAGCAGAGTAGCAAGGTGAAAAAGTTTGTGTTTAAAACGTAATTTGCTGATTTGACATCGCGGCAAATAAAAAATTTGCATAGATGACTCAGCTGAACCAAAGGTTCTCCCATAGGAGATGGCATATTTATCTTTGCTCTGTGCTGTGTTTGGAAGCTTATTTACTGTATGCTTTTATATATTATATCGAACATGTCAGTATGGCCGGTACTCATATTTTAAAAACAAGTAAATTAATTAAATCATGCGACTTTCGTTCCCGCCTCGTTCCCGCCGTACGTTAAAGGAACAAATTAAATTTTGCTTTTTGCATGATTAAGCCTTTTAATTTAAACATGACGGAAGGAGATGAGATGAAGTCAAATTAGATTAACACTTGAACTACTACTGATAAATAATGAAATAATTGAAGTGAGGAATAAGCAGTTGTTGAAAAATCCGGACAAGCATGACACATTGACAGGCAGGACACTTGTTGGGCCGAGTCCAAGATTTTCGGAATGAGAGGGACATGTTCCTCATCTAATTCAGGGCAAACTACCAACAGTATAAGCAGCAGAAGGGACTTGAGTACTTTAAATATTATGTTCTGAATTTGATACTTATGATAGTGTATATGGAAAAAATATTATTGGGAGGGTTCTTCACTACGGCGTATGACAATACTTTTAGAAATTAATTTCTTACCGTTCGAATGGAAAGATATTATAGACATAAAAAAAAAATCTCAGGGCAAACTACCAGTAAAATTTCAAGATTAATTACCTCCACAGAGGGCAGAGAATTAATTACCGGTAAGGACTGTTATATATGCATATAGCACCCACTGCTATCAAATTATATTTAAATTTTTTTAAACTCAGTAAAAAATAATAGTTCAAACCCTCAAATTTACTCCAAGAAAATGAGTCCCTTCCACTTAACCGCGCCGCGATGTTGTTCAGTATTTCATCTGGCTAGCATATTCATTGGTGCGTCTTACAATACGCAGGACATTAATTTGATAAAATTGCACATAAAAAATTCATAAAAAAGGAAAAAATAAATATACCGAGAGAAGAGAAAAACAATACGGAATGAGTAAAGTAGGTGAGTATTGTACATTATTTCTTCTTTTTTTTTGGCCGACGAGTTTTATTCATTATTACATCAAAGTCCCAAGTTGGACGGTTGATAACT